TTATCATTCGTAACCCTTCCATGTGGTCATGTGATGTCTCACAAAAAATGTTGGCCTGATCGGTTCAGCCGTTTTGACGTTTATTGGATACAAACAAACAGACAAACCAAATTTATATATAGATGACATGTAGTCAGAGAAAGTAAATAAAAAGGTTCTACTTCTAAGTGGGGGACAATTTAATGCTTAGTTAAAGGTTGATTTTTATCTTTTAACTGGTTTGTGGAGTGGTTGGCATTATTTATCAGTAAATATTATAGACTTTGGCAGCTATTGTTAAAGCTTAAAGTATAAAGATGAGAGAACGAATTTTGTATACATATAACATAAAGAACTTACCAGGCTATGATCTCTAAGACTTCTGCGAAGAATCATAAGATTATACGAAAACATCTGTTAGTAATGACTAACCAATACACTTGTAGAAGTGTATTTAAACCAAATTTAGCCATAGAACCTTAAAATAATTGGTGAGACGGGGTAAGTGTAATTGCCAATTATATTCAAAAGCAGGAAAGTGAGTTTTGCCTCAAAAACGCGACAATGTTTTAAATTCAGGACATGAATGAAAATGGTATATAACGAGCGAGAGTTTTAATTTAAGCAAATCCTTTCATAATTTTGATTTTAAAAAAAAGTTTAAATGCAATAGTTCAATGAATTTGTTATTATGAATATAAATATGTATAGCCATAGAGAATAGAACATATATTCTATTCTCTATGTGTATAGCACATATTTTGTGAAGAAAAATCAGTGTTATACAGAAATGATGTTCAGACCACATTATTCTAGTGAAAAGTATAAAAATACCTCTTTATTTTATTACCATCTTCTAAAGATTCCAAAACTTCCCAAATAATTTACTAGTTTTTTTGAGGTTCCCTTTGAAATTTCTAATTCTCGTAACTTAAAATTCCTGATTTGCTTTACTGGAAATCTTTTTGTAAACTTTAACAAAATTATTAAATTTTTCAAGATTATTTGCGGTAGGATTTAGCGTTTTCCTTGAGTACAGTTTTTGTTAAGGTACTATACAAGCCGTCCATGTGTCATCTATGGATGTATTGGTGTATTTTTACTGTTGAAGTATATTGCACAACAGAAAACGCTTGAGGAACAAATACATGAGGGACAAACATTGACAAGCAGGCAATCATTTCACAATTATATTCAACAATGAGTTTCTGTCAGTTTCTGCCAGTCGGGTTTAGAGTTTTATAAATTAGGGGTCTGTATAAACAGTTAAGCCAAAAATCTTGCAGCTGTCAATCACGTGACACAAGCTGTTGTCAGAGTTGTGTCAAAGATTGGTCTTAAAGTCGGGTTTAAGGAATTACGGCTCAAGCTCAAAGATGTAAACTTAAGTCAGGGATCAACTTGCAAGCCATAGTTTTACTATCTTAAATAAAAAGTAAACACCATTTTTACGAAAGATTATGGTTTATGTCAAAATTCTATGAAAGGCTGTATTTAAATTTAGGGTTTGAAATATCAGGCTTAAATATGCAGCGCACACAGACCCATTTTAATATTTAACATTTATTTTTAAATCTGAATTTTAACCAAATTTTTTTTGAGAGTAGTGAATTTATTCTATGGTTGTTGTATCTTCTTTTTATCTGATCATTCATTTGTTTTCTGTTCCTCATTAGTAGATCTAGGCATTCTAATCCCTTGTAGTCAAAGGAATTATACATTTTGACAAATATAAAAAAAAGATTGACAAAAAGATAAGATTTTTCAGTTATAAAATTCTTTAACTTAAAAAAATACTGCCTTAAAAGGCCTTTCTTAATTCTTATGATTTCTTAGTCCTACCCCATGACAATATTTTTCCAGGATATTCAATGTCTTAGGTTTAATCTTTCAGTCTTGAATTAAGCTATGACTCATAACTTAATAAGCTATGCATTTCCTTTTCTTTTAAGTTTAATGGTTAAATTTTTTTTAAGAAGTTGACCTCTAAAGATCCATATCTTTACTCTATAGTTTATTTTTAGGAGGGGGGGGGAGGGGCTTGGAACCCCCCCCCCCCTCCTCCTGTTTAATAATAAATCTGATAAATCTTTACTAATGGCCTAAACATGTTGTTAAAGTAAGAAAACCTTATGGAACTTAATCTTTTAGATATTTTAGACTTTTACCTGAGGCTATTAGAAAAATACAATCATAAAGCATAATTAAAATGTTACCCAGCACTAGGCATGCAGCTTTGTTTCTGCACTAAGTATTAAATAGTTCATATTATCATAAAATCTGTAATTATTAGCAAATTTTAGCAATACAGGTGTTTCTTCTTCTAGAACGAGGATATTCTAACTTAAGATGAAGCTCGACATTTTAAATCGTTAAATAAATTGCGCACACAATTTTTTGGAGGTCGGTAAAGGGAGATTGTGGTTGGAAAATTATATTAGTGGGGTTAGGAAAATACTGAAGTGTGGGATTTGGGAAATATATTATTGGGGTTGGCAAAATATAGTAGTGGGGTTGGCAAAATATAGTAGTGGGGTTGGAAAAGTGCAATTTGGGAAATATATTATTGGGGTTGGCAAAATATAGTAGTGGGGTTGGGAAAATACTGACTTGTGGGTTTTGGGAAATATATTATTGGGGTTGGCAAAATATAGTAGTGGGGTTGGGAAAATACAGTAGTGGGGATGGGAAAATACTGTAGTGGGATTGGGAAAATACAGAAGTGGGGATGGGAAAATACTGTAGTGGGGTTGGGAAAATACTGAAGTGTGGGATTTGGGAAATATATTATTGGGGTTGGCATGTAAACAATCTAGATCCGAGATAACGTATTGATAACTCTACTCAAAGTCTAATTAGAATCTAAATGACTCTATCTCTCGCCAAAATACCGGCTCTCTTTCCTTAGCCAAAACTCAAGGCTATATATACGTCTGTATTGAAAGATCAATCTCATTGAACTAATTTATTTTATATACAGGTGAAATTAAACTGACCGTAATGGCCAGTAAGGGTCAACATGAAATATGATAAGATAGATAAACGAACATAGATAAATCAGAAATTACTAGCATGGTTACATAATTCATTACAGGCAAAATACAGTAGTGGGGTTGGGAAAATACAGTAGTGGGGTTGGGAAAATACAGTATTGGGGTTGGGAAAATACAGTAGTGGGGTTGGGAAAATATAGTAGTGGGGTTGGGAAAATACAGTACTGGGGTTGGGAAAATACTGTAGTTGGGTTTCTAAGATAAAAGAATGATACAATTTGAGTTTGTATCAAAGACTCAATTCCAGCCAAAGATAATATATATATAGATATGCAGGCAGGTAGAAACCTCCTTNCAGTAGTGGGGTTGGGTAAATACAGTAGTGGGGTTGGGAAAATACTGTAGTGGGGTTGGGAAAATACTGTAGTGGGGTTGGGAAAATACAGTAGTGGGGTTGGGAAAATACTGTAGTGGGGTTGGGAAAATACAGTAGTGGGGTTGGGTAAATACAATAGTGGGATTGGTAAATACTGTAGTGGGGTTGAGAAAATACAGTAGTGGAGTTGGGAAAATACTGTAGTGGGGTTGGTAAATACAGAATTGGTGTTGGGAAAATACTGTAGTTGGTTTGGGAAAATACTGTAGTGGGGTTGGGAAAATACAGTAGTGGAGTTGGGAAAATACTGTAGTGGGGTTTGTAAATACAGTATTGGTGTTGGGTAAATAAAGTAGTGGGGTTGAGAAAATAATGTAGTGGGGTTGTGTAAATACTGTATTGGGGTTGGGTAAATACTGTAGTTGGGTTTCAAAGAAATACGGACGATAAAATTTAAGTTTGTGGCAAAAAATACCAGCTATATGTTCTGTTGTTGGGAAAGTTCAAAATCTCTCCAATTATTCAACCATCTTCCAACGGAGAGTGTGATTTTTATGTAATTTTTATTACAGACGCAATAGGCAGAATTAATAGCTATTATTATCAAATTAAATTCGATACAGTCTATACCCCCCTTTCATTTTGCGAACACTCCTTTTAAATAATAACATAAATAATAAATTTGAGAATGAAAAATGATGATTACCAGTAAGTAAAGAATAAGATCGTTGCTTTTTCACTTAAATATTACTCATTTCTTGCACAGATACACTACATACATTTTATTATTTTTAAAACAGATTTATAAATTATATTTTGTTGAAGTACAGAAGTTTTTTTTTACTTGTCACTTATAGTAAAATAAAGGGTAGAAGAGGCGGGGGGGGGGGGACAAACAATCAAGACAAAATGACCAGCCATATTTATTACAAAAGATTATCTTTTTGAATCAAAAAATCATCAAATCTACGTTTGACGAGATTGTTGAAATGAATGTCGTTTCTCCTAATTATTTGCTAATATTTTTAGTTTAATTTTCCTTATTCCTGCACTCAACTGTAAAGTAATGAGGAAAAAAGGCATGAAAACAATATTTGTTTATTGACTGAAACATAATCAAAACAGTTTTGGTCTGGGACAAACCCAATACTTGAGTTAGTTCTTCTTGAAAACTTGAAATGAATATGGTCTTAGGATTAATTTTAATCTCCACAGTATTTGGATTGTCTCTAGCTAGATGCTGTCTCGAGAAGGTTGAGTTTTGAAATTAAAATTAAAGCATGAAGTAATACATTTAAAATTAAAGCATGAAGTAATACATTTAAACTTAAAGCATGAAGTAATACATTTAAAATTAAAGCATGAAGTAATACATTTAAAATTAAAGCATGAAGTAATACATTTAAAATTAAAGCATGAAGTAATACATTTAAAAATAAGTTCTAACAGGTTCATGCCTAGGATGTAGAAATGGCATAAATTGCAACAAACTCAAATTGTCTTATGCTTATGCTAATCTTTTAAGCCTTTAAAATTTCAAACTTAATTTTTTTTGATTGATTGTTGCAAAGATTTAGAAATAAGTTTTAAACAAAGACTCATTGCATTCGATTTCTTAAGAGATGAGGTTTTAAACAAATTTCCCCTTATAGATGCAACAGATGGAAGTAAGATTAATAGCAATCAAAAGCAACATTTGTCACTGTAAGCCTATACCCCCTTACATTTTTCCCAAACACTCCCTTAAAAAATAATAGGATCAGGGGTTGATGAAAGATTTATTTGAAGTTGGTAGGTATGGTTGTGAAAGATTTATATGAAGTTGGTAGGTATAGTTGTGAAAGATTTATATACAGCTGGTAGGTAGGGTTGATGAAAGATCTATATAATAGGTGAGGTTGATGAAATATCTATATAAAAGGGGTTGGTGGGGTTGATGAAATATCTATATTAAGGTGGTAGGTGGGGTTGATGAAAGATCTGTTTAAAGGGGGTAGGTGTGGTTGATGAAATATCTATATAAAGGGGGTAGGTGGGGTTGATAAAATATTTATATAAAGGGGGTAGGTGGGGTTGATAAGAAGGATCTATATAAAGGGAGTAGGTGGAGATGATGAAAGATCTATATAAATGAGTAGGTGGGATTGATGAGAGATCTGTATAAAGGTGGTAGGTGGGGTGGAACAAAGATCTGTATAAAGGGGGTAGGTGGGGCTGATGAAAGATCTATATAAAGGGGTTAGGTGGGGTTGATGAAAGATCTTTATAAAGGGGGTGGATGGGGTTGATCAAATATCTATATAAAGATCTATTATACAGGTTGTGGGTGGGATTGATGAAAGATCTGGTGTATACATACTAGATGAAGATGCTACTACTGCAGCAGACTTCTACAACCAGAATATCTGTCAATCAGAATGTATTTATAGAAGAAGACATGATACAACAGGTTCAGAAATACCAGAATTTTAATAATTTTCTTTAAAAATTTATAAATTTAAGCCCGACCTTAATTTCAAAAACCGAAAGCAAGCCTACGATTTAAAACTTGCTTCTGATTTTTTTAACCATGTAATGAGTTATCTTAAACACAATGTAAAAATCTGCTAACAACAGCTGTTGTAAAATGCAAGCCCTAAAACTCAACTTTATGATTTTATTATAATGAATTAATCTTTATTCATACTAATTTTTTTCAACTATATTTAGTCCACAAGATTTAAAAAAACTTAATATATTCCAGGAGAATTGTTCTGTTTTGGATTTGGCTCATTAACATCAGAATGTGCTGATGTAAGACAAAAAAAGATTATATCTTCTTTTCATCTTATTTAAAAAAAGATAATATTCTATTTTCATCTTATTTTAAAAAAGATAACATTTGATTTTCATCTTATTTTAAAAAAGATAATATTTGATTTTCATCTTATTTTAAAAAAGATAATATTTGATTTTCATCTTATTTTACAAAGTTAATATTCTAATTTCATCTTATTTTAAAAAAGATAATATTTTATTTTCATCTTATTTAAAAAAGATAATAATGCCACTTTAAATTCCATTCTGAAGTGTAATGTGAGCTAAAATTGTATATGATGACACACAAACAAAGTCTTTACAGTTAAATATTAATGAAACTTAATCAATCTATTATTGTTTAGTGTGGAATTTCAAATATCCTTCCGAAGCCAAGGATACAGAACGGAAAACCTACAGGACCAAATAAATATCCATGGATGGTAAACTTTGTTTCTATTCGAAATGTTGCACATATGGATAAACACAGAATATAAATAAGCAAGAAAAGGAATAAACTGCTAAAAGATAAATTATGCACCCCTTCCTTAATATTTACGTTTTAAGTTTGTAAGAATTTCAAATCTTTTTAGACCTTTTAAAATAACAAAAAATAATTCAGAGTGAATAAAAATTCAGGTTTTTGTAATTACAATCTTAAAAACAGGGGATATGTTAACTTGTGGTGGATCACTGATAAATAAACAGGTATGCTGATTTTTTCAAAATAAATTTTGATTCATAAAATCCCCATTAATTTCAATAATGTAAAAGTGTTACAAATTTGTCAACTAAGTAGTTTTGGTTTTACATTTTGTTGGTTCAAAATTGGATTGCAAATGACACATATGGTTTGTTCAGTAAAATATTTTGTTCAGTAAAATCTTTAGTTCAAAAAAATCTTTCTTTTAATAAAAAAAGCTTTTTTTTAATCTTTTGAAAAATTTATCCATTTATTAAAAAAAGTTTTTAAAAGTTCTATCATAGGTTTGTGTTTTAAATCATTCACAAAAATTTGTGTTAGATCTTAAAACTTTCATTCAAGCACAAAAGCTTTGCTCATTTTTACCTAGCAGGGGTTGGTTCCTTTGGTGTATTTCCTTGTTTTGTCTGATGTAGTGTGCATGTCTAAAGTACAACTTGATTTAGTTGCTTTCTGATTCACAATGGTACCGTTTAAACCTTAGACTGATCATCTATATATATCTGAAGTATACATTGGGGCTGACGTCACATTTATGTATGGAAAATCAGACGTCTAGAGTAAATTGGAAAGTGAGAATATAAAAAAAAGCTTTTTTAATGATAAATAAGAGAAAGTCTTATTGTTAACTAGTGAAAGGTTTAAAGGGAACTCTATGAATCAGGGATGACTGACTCTTTTTAAATGTAACATCACTTAAAATTACACTTAGTCTTTCAAAGCTTTGTAAAGTTACAAGATACTGATGTTGTCTTTTTAGTATGTCATCACTGCTGCTCATTGTACGATTGCAGCAGAGCAAATAAGTGTTACCGTAAGTCTTTAAAACAAAATTATGTTTTAGAAATGATATTTTATAATTATTTCATCAAATTTTGAATGAAAATAATACACATTTTTTAAGTTAAGTGAAAACGACTTTGAAGCTGATGATGGTGAAAAAAATGTCCAAGTTTGTGACAATCCTTTGGAGCATCCTGGGTATAATGATTCTGATTTTATGGCCGGATGGGACATTGCTATTATTAAACTCTGCAACCCTGTTCGTTTTTCACAGGTGAGAATAAAGCATCATTATCATTTAATAAGAAACAAAATTTAATTTTGAATTTTAAAAGTAAAATTTTATTTATCTGATAATATGTATTGTCAAATTTTAAAAGGAATGTTTAAGTTCAAGCATATTTTTGCTTATTTTTGTTTTTATTCAGTGTAGATCTTGATAGGTATTGAGAAGATACACAAAAATTAGACAAAAATGTAAAAGCCCCTTAATTCTTTAACAAAGTTAACATTTTCAAGATTTTCCTTAAGAAAACTTTGTCTAAAGTAATTACTTTTTTGATAATTTACATTTCAATGGAAAAAATTATTGTTTTAGTATAATTTTGGCAGCTTTTTTGAGCCGTCATTACCAACCGCTACGCACATGTGGGGGACATAACAGTTAGACAAAATATACTGCTTCACCAATTAGCAGAATAATATAAACTGCATTGTTCTTTATATTTGCATTGATAATACAAGATAAGAAGGTAGGAAGCTGCAGGGAGGGATGAGTGGGAAGGGAGGGGCAGGAAGCGAGGGAATGCGATGAGAGGGATGGAAAGGGAGTGATGAGAAGGAAGAGATGGAAGGAATGGGGTTGGAAGAGAGGGATGGAATAGTAAGGAAATGATGGCATGGGAGGGATGTAATGGAAAAGGAAAAGAAGGGAAGCAAAGGGATGGGCTGTGATGGGAAGGGAGGTTTGGGATGGGAGGGATGGGAAGGGAGGGATGAAAATGGAGAGATGGAAGGGATGGAAGGAATGGGAAGGGAGGGATTAAATGAGAATGGAGGAATGGAAAGGATGAGTTTGAAAGGTAGGGATGGAATGGGAAGTGAGGAATGGGATAAGATGGGAAATGGTCAGGGTGGGAAGGGAGGGATAGGAGGAATGGGATGGGAGTGAAACATGATTGATTTGAATTTACAGGAGGAAATGAATAATTTCTGTATGGAAAATCTAATACTAATTTTAATAAATCTAGTTCTAAAAGATGTAATCCTAACGGGGGCGTATATATACAAGAAATGTCCAGAGGAGACTTTAAACTTTTTTTTCCAGGGGGGATAGGACTCAAAACCTAGACTCAAAAAGACTAGAAAATTAAACTAGTTGACATCACCTTTATTTAGACTGTATCTCCAGTATGTCTACCTTCTATGCAAAGTGAAGGTGAAGTAATACTTGTAAATAATAAAAGTGTACAAGCAATTGTATAATATTTTTTGCTACATTTTTTTAATTTTAGAGGACATTACGCAAAAAATATTAATTCTCTAAATAAATGAGCTCTACAGTAACAATAGCTAGCTAAAAATACTATGGTTTTATTGTGGATTTTGGAAGATTTTGAAATATTTTTTTTTTAAATGGCAAGAAAGTCTTCACTCGCCAAAACTTTAACGGTAAGGTGAAATTGAGCAGAAACAATCTTCCAGAATTATCATGAACACCCATTAATACTCTCATAAAATTGAAAAAAGCTAAAAGGAATCAGGTGTTCTTGGCCATGGGGAGTTGAGAATGTGTGCAGGAAGTTCGTCATTTTGACAAGAAACATATGAGCAGACATTAGACGAGCTGTATAGTAGAAAGCATGTATATATTTATAGTGAATGATTTTGTATCTTTAAAGTTTAGTATTTTAGCCCTGTTATTTTTTTCCAATTACTCACTTCTATCCAGAAAATTAAAATTCAAAAAAATCTAGGAACTGAGTTTGAAAATCTTGATGCGATAGTGACTGGTTGGGGGATAACATCACCTTCCTCAAATGTTTCAAACCTACTATTAGAAGCAGAGGTAATATCAGACCATAATGAACCCACATTATAACAATTGTATTGACATTATACTATAGTAAAAATAACCAAAGAAATTTCCAGTTTTCTTAGGGTTAAAGTACAGAATTTTGAACTTTGCCTACCAATACTGCCATCCTATCGTGTAGCAACCAGTAGTCAAATTTTAGTATCAATTTAAGAAAATAATAGTTACCTTTGGTTTTGAACAGTTAGTAGAGACAATACTGTCTAAAGACAACAAAAATGCAGAACAATTTAAATAGACTGGCAAAACAACCCTTGTGAAAGACCTTAGAATTCAGGATATACCTATATTATACAGTTAGGCTATAGATAAGTCAGACAGTGTATATACAGACTACTGAAAACTACTGTGAGTTTGTGATATATTGCCCAGTCATAAATTCTTATTTTATCTCACTACATTTTTTTTTTGCGGAGATTATAACCCCTGAAATCATCTATCATGGATTCAAGATATGTGGTTGAACTGTCACTGACTTAGCTTGAATTAATTAATTGTTCTGAAAGCTCACTGGTTGTTCTCTGAAAATAAAACTCCCTTTTACATTTAGGTTAGAACTTTGAGCAATGCAGATTGTTGCAATCCTGACAAAGGTCACTTATACGACTGTCCTTTTCCTGATAGTTTAATTTGTGCAGTAGGGGATGGGGAAGCAGGAGCATGCGTGGGAGACTCAGGAGGTATACTTATGAGTTTGCTTTCAAAAATTAAAAGAGAGGTTGGACATGAGTAAATATTGAGCAGGTTGTGAGTGGTAATTTCAAACCATTTTAACCCTATTCTTGGAGATAACTCAAAAAGTATTGGTCTGAGGCTGTTAAATTTTTTTGACTTTTCTGACAATCACATCCATATTTAGACCCACTTCCGGTCATTGGATTTCGACTTTTTATAGATCTTTTGCAAGCCTTGAACAAAAAAACAGATTGCACAATTTTTGCAAAGAAGTTGTGTATAGATTTTTGCACAGATGCCTTTAAGGACAATTTGCATATTTTCAGTTTTCCTTGAATTCAAATTAAATTTTAGAAAATGTTGCAAATACTTTTGCATATTTGAATTGGGACCCCCCTCCCCCTCCAGACAATTTTGGGTAAACCAGAGGTAAGCCTGAAAAGGGTTTAAAACCTCCCAAAAATTATCCAAAATAAAGTTAAAACTAGAAGATATGTTAAAGGATGTTTCTTTTGAAATATAGAATATATTTATCAAACAAAATCAACTTTAACTGCTGGGCACGTCCTTCAATTTTTTGTTTAAATTTTTTTTAATCAGTTTTAGAGAAATTTTAATTTGATCTACAAATACCAACCTCATGCCTTACTATACAGGAATTGGAAGCCTTATATATATATTCCTTTCAATGTGCTGCTCTTTTAGTAAAAGCCCTTTTATGTAATTTAATTCATGTAATCAAATATTTTCCTCCTTTCTGTGTTACTTTATTTTTTGATTGAGCTAATTTGGTGTTCCTTAACCTTTTCAGAGATCCTATATAAAGGCTAAAGTAGTTGTGGTTGTTCCTAACCAAGTTAGGTTTCTTCATTAAACATTGATTACAAAATGCTTTGAGAATAATGAATTTCAGTAAATATAATGTTTCAAGGTCCTTTGATGATAAGAAACTCTAATGGGGTATTTACCATATTTGGTAAGTAGGCAGTAACATCAAAAAAATAAAAATTCACTTTTGAAAAAAGAAATTCGAATTTTGAAGAAAAATATTTTTAGCTTATGTTAACTAATTGAGGGTTCCTTAAAAAAATATTCAGTACATTTGGTCCAGTGGTTTCGCCAGCTATAGCTAGCATATAGAAGAACTAACATACATGAGAGAAAAGCTTTATTATATAGATTAGGCATGCTCAACTTTTCAACAGTTTGATAAAAATCCCAGTGTTCAAATGGGTTCACTAATCAAAACTTGCATAAAGAAAAACAAACAGATGACACTGAGGCCGAATTTAAAGATTTTATCCACCGCTTAAATTTGAGACACAGCTCAAATATGGTTGGAGCCACTTAAAATTTGTAAAATGTTTCAAGATTTAAGCTGGCTCTAAATTTAAACCGGTTTTTGGTGGATTTGAGACTCGGCTTAAATTCTTTAAATTTGGACTCTGCATATACTTAATACAAATAAATATACGAATAAATGTTTTGCTGTTTTCTACAGGAATTGTATCAGGGGGTAATGCATTCTGCACAAAGGTATACATAATGCAATAATGTTATTCTACAACACTGGAAATATTGATATTCATCATAATCTTTAAAAACCATGATATTAATTTTCATTTGTTCATCTTCATTCCCTCGACAATTTAAGAAATATTTGGTTTGGCTACCAGAGAATAATTTGGTCAGAGACAACCTTAAAACAGAGTAAAATTGTGGTTTATAGTTTACAACCATACATTGCCGGTCACTCCATGCTTCTTTGCTAACAATCATTAACATAGGTTTTTGTTTACAATCATTCAAATGGGTAGAGCCATTAATCTATTAATTTATTCTATACAAGTGAAATGCTATAGAATTGTAATTGCAACTTTTTTGATTGATTTTTCTCAATAATTCATTTTTACAAACAATTAACATAATTAATATTTTAAACATATAATCTAAATCAATTTTTAGAATATTTTAATTAAGGATGAATTCCCTGGATTTTATACAAGAGTTTCACTGTATTTGGACTGGATTAAAGAGAATACAAAATTGTAAATAGTTTTTCCTCTAACGTATATAATTTGTTGTACTCATATAGTAAACATTTTGAAATCAAATTGATTACCTTAATTTGATTATATAAAAGCAAAATTTGATTTTAAAAAGGGTTTTGCATATTTTTTGACTTTGAATAGTTTTTGTTATTGTTTGTTTACAAGTTCCTTCAGCTGAATTGTTCTTTCCACATTTGTCTGGGTTCTTTTGTTAAAGTGTGTCCCACAAAACATTACATTAGATAAATAGTTGTGAATGTCATCTTGCATATACTGTATTGGATTTTAAAGGCTTTTCAGTTTATTTCGTTAAACAAATCTTTTGCTTTCGTTTTACAACCAAAGGCGAAGACCTAATTAATTCTTGTACACTGTAAATATTAAAACGTAATAAAAAAATAAGAATTTTTGGAAAAGCGAATCACAGAGGTTTTTTTTTCATAAATTATCCCTAATTTATGAATATTTTGAAAACGGCGAAAAAATAAAACACATTTTTTTATTATTTTTATAAGAAAAACTGAATGCAGAACAATATTTTTAAAACTGTTAATAATGCAAGTCACTATTATTAAAAAAAGTGGATAAAAATATGTTGGAACATTGTTTCAGCCTATACCGGGGGGTTTATCATCCGCCCTACTTTCTGTTCGTAGTATAGCTATATATAAAAAGCTGGACCACTTGCAATCTGAGCTTACTCCATGCCTGTATTAGAGCTGAAAAGGTTGCATCATTGGACCATCCGTATTCCGAGCGTACAAAATGATACAAAAATTCACGATACCTGAGTGCAGAATTAGATTGAACGGAAAAGTATTAAAAAGCAGAAACTGTAATTTATTTTATATTTTTCCCTTGAGACATGTAAGTTGCCACGACAAAATTTGGTACATACAGTTAAGATAATGTAAGTTAAAGTTTATCAATAAAAAATATATTCATATACTCATTATTTAAACAATACAAGTATAAAACTACCAGGGAAATTTGCACTGGTCTGTTTACATTATTCTTCCATCTTTTAAACCCAGGGGGGATGATAGTTCTCTACCTTTGTGCTCAGTTAGCTGTACTGTACACTTACAACCATAGAGAATAGAATATATATTAGAGGGGAATTTAGAGAATCTCTTGGTATGAATTTTTTCAGTCCCATTCAGTCTGAAAGGGAGTTCAAAGTGTACAAATCATGTAAAAGTATCCTGGTTTTCAAGTACCCCAGCGGGGATAGGGTTAACAATAGATGTGTTCAATCCCGGTTCTCAATTTAGACTGTTTAAACCTAAATACTTACATATATTTTTTATTTGAAATCCATTTTACCGTAACATGACTCCCAAATAATATTTTTATTATTGTCTTTAGTATCAAATAACTTATCAAATTATGGAAGAAGACATTCTAACTTAATTACCAACTGTCATGTTTCTTGGTTATAGAATATTTGGTTTCATTCTTTATTTAAACTTTTTTGTTTTTATTTGTGTTGGAAGTTACGCCATCTGGATTAGAAAAAAATTGTTTGATGCTTTTTATTTTTAAATACATTCTAAATAATCAGTTCTTTCTTTTTCGATTAGAAAAAGTCATAGAAAAAATCATTTTCACTGAGTTGTTGTTATGTTATCACAAACAGTGGTGAAAATATGAATAAATTGCCCATGCTCTGATGTGCATAAGGATACACGAAGTATATGAAAAAATGTATTTTACAAGTAAAATAAGAATAGAATAAAAAATGATACAAATGAATAATGGAAAGCCTCAGCACCCTGACGATCTCTCCGCCTTATGTCCGCCTCGGTACCGAATAGAACTCTCTCCTTCTGATTCTTTGGACGACTACCTTTTCATTCCGGTTTTTGCTCAACCATTTCTCCTCCTCCTTATGTTGGAACATTGTTTAGCCTATACCGGGGGGTTTATAATCCGCCCTACTTTCTGTCCGTCCTATAGCTATATACAAAAAGCTGAGCCACCTGCAATCTGAACTTAGCTCCAGGCCCGTATTAGAGCTGAAAAGGTTGCATCATTGGACCAATCCGTGTTGCAAGCTCTTGAGCTTATACTGCAGGTTACAGTAAGGTTTCCAGCGTACAAAATGATACAAAAATTCACGATACCTGAGTGCAGAATTAGATTGAACGGAAAAGTATTAAAAAGCAGAAACTGTAATTTATTTTATATAGGTTTCAAGGGTACCGTTGTGAATCAGACATTGTCATGTTTGCATAGAGGGCCAATCAATATTCCGCTTTCAGACCCTTTAAGTTAAAAAACCTTTAAGATAAAGTGTTCCATGTAATGCTCTTGTTTTGTTTCGATTTTTATATAACAAGGTTTTCAACTGTACATCTTTTTCCATTTCAACCAATTTAAATTGAAATAGTTATTCTTGAAATATTTCTTTTTTATGAGAAAATCCAGGAATCAATGAAATTTCAGAACAGTGCTTTATAGTGTACAATTATATCCTTAAATATTTTTTTCAGCATTGAAATTGAAAAAGAGGTTCAACAAAATTTAAACTTGACATGGGGTTACTTCCACAGAACAAAAAAGTACTAAAAGTAGTAAAATATTTCCTTACTAAAGTATGAGTATACAATAAACTTTTCACTTTTATCTCTGGGTTTAGGCGAGACAGGAGAGCTGAAGAGCATCATAAACTCCAGGATCCCAGATAGAATACATGCTGGAGCCTTTGATCCTTTATATTATAATCAAGGCCTGGGGACTTGTACTTTATAGACAGCTAACAAACAGACAAAGCTTCAACATGCCAACTAAGGAACACAGAAGACCTCCAGCATCTTCTCCTATCATCATACACGAATATGTATCTTCAGACTCATCAGTATCATCCAGAGATTCATCTCCTGTGGTATCTGGAGCTCCACCAATTGTATCCTTACTGGAAAGTCGGGTTTACTCGCAAAATTATTACAGTTCTAGTTAGTCCAACCACAGATGAAGATATACCTGAAGAAACTCTAGATGCTCAAGCTGGTTCAACTAACAAAGCCCTTGGAGATAAAGAGCAACTGATGGATCCGGGATCAACAAGTCTTGATATGAACAAAGATACAACTGAAGAAATTCTAGACGCTCAAGCTGGTCCTACTAACAGGGCCACTGAAGATATAGAGCAACTGATGGATCCGGGATCAACAAGTCCTGATATGAACAAAGATACACTTGAAGAAACTCTAGACGCTCAAGCTGGTTCAACTAACAGGGCCACTGGAGATATAGAGCAACTAATGGATCTGGGATCAACCAGTTTTACTATATTAAATGCATTTTTAAATGTCGTCTTTTGACATCAGTAAACTTTAGGAATTTGACAAATGTTTAACATAAAACCAGACATTCATATAAATCTATTTATAGCTAAGATATGTCCCCTATAGCCGGCCAAACAGCAAGACTGAATGGGCTGACATTTTTTTGTAGACACTCATGGATAGCCTGGGGTGACATAGGAAAAAATCGAATTTTCTTTTTTTCAAATTTTTTAAAAACACTTTTATCCACGGGCAACGCCGGGCCTTTCGGCTAGTGCTTATCATTAATAATAATTAAAGTTCTGTTTAAATTACCCTGGTAATAAATGTACAGATTAACTCAATTCAGGCTGAACGTCTGGTTTACCCAAAATATATTGCAATATTAAGTTATTTTAAGCAAAAAGTGCACGAAATATAATAAATTAAACATTATTGAAAAGCCCTTGCAACGGCAAATTCAAATATGCAAAATTTTCAAAATCTTAATAAATGTGCAACTTCTCTTTAAATGCATCTGTAAAAGTTAGAAAAGTAAGAAAATGAACAACCTCGGACCAATGCTTTTTGAGTTATCTCTAAAAAACGTCAGAATAGGGTTAACCGTACTGCATGACCTCTTTAGGTAGGGTTCTTGGGTGCATGTACATCGAGTACACCAGATACATTCCAACATACCGGAGAAAGGTTAGAGTATAAAATGCTGATAGACATTTTGTACCACAGATCTACATACACTAGAGAGTAGAGACACAAGATGCCGCAATACACAATTGTTCGATGTACTGTATGTCACAATTCGATCAGATTCCCTTTGAACCTTGATCTTTGTCCTTATTTCAAAGACGTAGGATTACATCCCTTGCAATCTACCCCTTGAGATTTCAGAGACGTCTTTACGGAAAAATACTGTCAGTAAATGAATATTTACAAGGCAGAATCCTTAATAACTTGGAAGTTGTCGTATTTTAAGTCTTTGCAGTCGCATTCTTTGTGAGTGCCCCTGCATATACTGTTTTAACTAGAAATTGGACACCTTATTTTCAATATAATAATTTATAGACAATATGACAAAAATATTTTCTAACCTGTTTTAATCTGACATAATTTTTAAGTTTGATTAAAAAATGTCATACAACAGTTTACATTATTTCAAGTAATTCTCAATGTGTAAAGATGCATGCTTCATTCCCAAGGACCAATATAGAAAGAACAATTCGGCCAAAGGACAAACGGTTTTCAAATCAAAAATGTGCTAATTCCTTTATAAAATCAAGTTAAGGTAAGCAATTGGAATTACGAAATCTATATAAAAAAACAATACATTAGAATCATAGATAAAGATAGATTGCGCATAAGACGACATTTTTCATCTTGAAAAATATAAATNGCTCCTTTTCAGGCTGAAAGGGACTGAAAAAATTCATACCGAGAGATTCTTTTAATTCCTCTCTATATATTCTATTCTTTATGTATATTGCTCAGTGAAATAATTTGATATTCTGAAAAAATGTTCACACCTGAGTGGTTTAAAAATTATGAAATCCATTAAAAGACCAAACCACCCCGCTTATCATTGAAGTACACTTTGACCCCTAGAAGTATGAGTTCTCGGACTGTACAATTCTTGGTGATTTTGCGTACATAAGCTATCTATGTTTATTTATTTATCTATGGTTATATGTTGCCTTTAGCTGGCCATACGGCTAGATTGATTGGGCGAATTGGGCTAAAATTTTTTGTGAACACTCTTAGCAGGGTAGCCTGGGAGTGTCTTTGGCTAAAGAAATTCGAATTTTTTTCATTTTTTTATTTCAATTTATTTTAAAAATCTTTTATAATTTTTCCACGGGCAACGCTGGGCCCTTTAGCTAGTATGTACTATTTATGAGAGTAACTTGTTAAAATATAATGTAAAGATAAAATTTATCTAAATTTTCATCAAAAATGCCCAAAATTCGATTCATTACATTAAATCCCTGGTATAGGTTAAGGTTTCCAATCGGAATTCTGTTGGGCTGATTTGCACACAAATTGCACGGAGTTGTGTATAGGGTTTTCAAATTTTCTTTCAATCTCTTTAGCGAAAATTTCGTTCAGCCAACGAAAATATTCGTTCATTTTTGTTAAAAAGTTATTCGCTAGAAATTTTTGCAAAATTTGCAAAATTTGTACCAAATTTTTGCGAACTTCTTTAAATTTTCGACCTTTCCTTCTAACTCTTTTTTTTTGCAAAAATACAATCTTTTGATGCGAAATGGCAAAATTTTGATTTTACCAAACGAAAATTGAACCAAACTTGAACAAAAATTCTTGCAAAAATGAAGTCAAAAATTTTGTGAAAAATGCATAGAAATTCATGAAAATTTTGAACAAATTTCGCTAGTTTATTTTGGGGAATGTTGTCCAACGAAAATTTCGATGGAAACCCTGGTTGTGTAGAATTGCACAGAATTGTGCAAAATTGTGTGGAATGCGGGGAAATAAAAAGATCGCAATTACACACCAGTAAAATCCCCTTAGGTTGGAAATCATAGTAAAATCATGGTAAAACAAATCTTATGACTTTCGGCTTCAGAGGGAAATTAGAAGAATAATTTTGGATAATACTTTTACAACAAAGACGACTTTTAGATTGATTTTTAAATGGTCCAGTTAGCCTGAAACACAGCAATTGTGTGGTGTATACAGCTAGACACATTTCGCTTAATTAGTGATTCAAAAAGTGTCTAGTAAAAGTATTTGCATTCTTACAATATAAAATGCACTTTAATATTGCTTTAAAGATGTATTCCTATTTCAGAGTTTTCTGGTTCTTACTGTACTATTGTATTATGTTTACAACAAGAACAAACAATGCTAAAAATTTACGGGAACTGTGAAGGATCAGGAAAGTTTCTCTTGTTCTTGTTTAAAGCTGTGATCTGATCAATCTCCTCTCTTGACAGGGTGAAGTTGAATAAATCAAGATTCTCTTTCATTCTATCAAACTTCTCAGTTTTAGTCACAATACAATGCCCTAGCTCAAGGGACCATCTTTTACACTAGTTTGTTTCATAATGATAATAATTATCAAAACGGCAGAACGCATTAAGTTTAGTATTACTAATGTAAAGTACAAGAAAAAAAGAAAGTAGGATTTTAAAGCTAATGATGTTTCCTAAATTGAATACTTTTAAACATGAGCTCCGGGGAAAAAAATCCACATAAAATGGAAAGTTTTATTTTTCTTATGAAAGCTGCTTTCTCTTAAAAATTATTATTTTTCCCAATCCAACAAATTAAAACCTTGAAAAACAATTGATTTACAAAGAGACGAGTAGTTGATTTTTCAAGATAACATACATCTTTGGTTATTCCTTTAAAGTATGGCATAAAGCACCATATAATCCTACAGACCTGAGCAGTAGTTTTGTTATGAACTCCTCCTATTCTCTCTAGAACAGGATCTGATAGCAGCATATCCTTACCATTCCCAAGAGGGGCATATGCCTGGGAAAATATTATATGTCATGTGGGTATGGCAGCATACATTAATTTTGTTACTTTATCAAAGGCATCTTCCCTTATGGCAAATTCTCAATTGTGCAAATTCCAAAGCATCAACTTCCCAAGTCTGTCATAGCTACAGCGGTCGGCCCCTAGAATGTTCTAGATGCAGCCAAAGAGCTCAGCCCCCTAATCCTAACCGCAGCGCTTGGCCCTCATTGCAACTTTTGGGAAAGTTGAACTTTGGGAAACTTTCATTGGGAAGTCGCCATTGGAAAAATGTCTAAAATGTCTAACATCAGTTAGTTCATCTCCATATCAGTGCAACCTGATTTCAAACTTTGAAATGTGCTACCACAAAATCTCAAAGTTGAAAATATGAAAAAAATACACCGTTAGGTTGAAAAGCTTTGGGGATAAGAAAATTTTAGTTTGCGGCGAGTAATCGACCTCGTTACTTACTTGAAGAATAATACCCTGCTGCTTACAGTATTCTTGAATTGAAATATCCACCAAATATGGATTAAACTCAACCTGAAAAATAAACAAAAAATTCGTTTAAAATTAGAGATTCAGCATTATTTTGTGCATGACCAACATTTTTCCTTCAGAGAAAACGATCGATGGACGAACAAATTGCATTGTTCGGAGAAATGAAAAAGCTATCGTACTATAGAAACAAACGAAAAAAAATAGAACAATTTAAAATTGTTAGAAGGAATTGTTAGATCGATTTTTTCCCAACTAACTTTTTAAAAAACAATCTTTATCTTCACTAAACAAACATTTTTAAGGAGCGAACGATTTTTCTGAACGTTATTCATAATTATTTTCCCTTTTGAAATTTAAATATATTGGGAAAATGAATAATATGAAAAAATTGGGAAATAAGGTGACTAAAAGCTAGAAGCGTTGCCGAACATATATTTCGATCTTTCAATTACTATTATTTAGGTTTTGTTTGCATACTTGCAATACAGCAGTGAATAAAGAAACTTTTGCAACATGATGGTGTAAACTGCAGGTATTATGGTGACTTTATGTTTCTTTAATAGTTTCTTCAGATGGTTTACAGTAAATGCAATATCATTAATAAATACCTGATTAACAGCAGGTATTACGGTGACTTCAGGATTCTTTAATAGTTTCTTCAGATGGTTTACAGTAAATGCAATAACATTAATAAATACCTGATTAACAGCAGGTATTATGGTGATGACTTCAGGATTCTTTTATAGTTTCTTCAGATGGTTTACAGTAAATGCAATAACATTAATAATTACTTGATTAACAGCAGGTGTTATGGTGACTTCAGGATTCTTTAATAGTTTCTTCAGATGGTGTACAGTAAATAAAATATCATTAATATATCCTGATTGACAGCAGGTATTATGGTGACTTCAGGATTCTTTAATAGATTCTTCAGATGGTTTACAGTTTAATAATAATAATAATAATAATAATAATAATAATAGTTAGAATACACATATCTCACACTGTAAACTCAAACTATATAGTGCAAGAGTTTGGACTTTCTTATGATTTTTCTTTCCCACAATTCACAATTAAACCAGTTTATACTCGGACCACTGTTGACGCTGCCACATTCAAAGCTGCAAAGTCATAACTCCCCATTTTTTAATGGTAGTTGTCAATCTGTGTTACTCGAAAATAGGGATGTTAACTTATACCTTTTTATGAAAAAGAGATCGTTTGTTATGAAAACGACGGCAAAAAATCAAAAACGAAACAATCATTTTTATAAAGCTTGTTGTTTTGTTAACGATTGTTAACCACAAACCTTCGTTAACAATCGTTAATGACAACCCTTTGTTAACAATTGTTAACGACGCCCCTTCGTGAACGATCATTAATGACAACCCTTTGTTAATGATCGTTAACAAAGAGAGGAAACCGACCTAAAGGGCATCTGTACTTTTCATTTAGTAGTTTTAAAGAAATTTTAGCTCCCCTGCAACTATTTTACTTCATGTAAGTTGCAATAAAGTTGCATGTCATTTTTTTTATCAATTGTTAACGACAACCCTTTGTAAACGATCGTTAACGATTACCCTTTGTTAATGATCGTTACCATAATTGTCAATAACAAACTTTTTTCAAAAACGATCATTTTTTTCAAAAGCGATAGTTTTTTTAAAAACAATCATATAAAAAACGGTTGCTAATTGTTTTTATAAAACGATAGTTTTCAAAAACGATAGTTATTCGTTTTCTAAAAGCTTAAAACAAGTGGGTCGTCTTAAAAAACAATCTTTTTTTCGAAAACGGAACGATTGTTTTAAAAACGATCAGAAAACAAAACAAAAAATTATCATTTAACAATCCTTTTATAAACATACACACTGTAAAAATCATACAGTAATATTATTAGATGGTTGGGAACATATTTCTCAAAAGAAATTTGTCAATAAACCAATGCTAGAATCAATTATTTTGTTTTCTTCATTATATTAAATTTCTTATTTTCTTTGGATTTATTCGCAGATTTCTTCAAATTCTTCAAATGTTGTCTTTTCAATAATAATTCCAGAAAATCTTTGTGAATAATGAGAAAATAGAAACAAATAATTGAACAAATTAGTTATTTTCGACGATAAGATTAATTTTTATTTTCTCAACCGGTTCCTAAAAAACTAATTAGTTTAATGTTGAGTTTTGTTTACATTTTTCGTCGTCGTTATTTAGTAATTTTAAAAAACCGATTCTGAAAACGTATCCACCCCAAAGTAGGAGTTTTGAACGTCGAATTTGCGCTTAAGATACACTTGAAGAAACTCTAGACGCTCAAGCTGGTTCAACTAACAGGGCCACTGGAGATATAGAGCAACTAATGGATCTGGGATCAACCAGTCCTGATATGAAAGAAGATACACCTGAAGAAACTCTAGATGCTCAAGCTGGTTCAACTAACAGGGCCACTGGAGATATAGAGCAACTAATGGATCTGGGATCAACCAGTCCTGATATGAAAGAAGATACACTTGAAGAAACTCTAAATGCTCAAGCTGGTTCAACTAACAGGGCCACTGAAGATATAGATGAACTGATGGATCCGGGATCAACAAGTCCTGATATGAAAGAAGATACACCTGAAGAAACTCTAGATGTTCAAGCTGGTTCAACAAACAGGGCCACTGGAGATATAGAGCAACTAATGGATCTGGGATCAACCAGTCCTGATATGAACGAAGATACACCTGAAGAAACTCTAGATGTTCAAGCTGGTTCAACAAACAGGGCCACTGGAGATATAGAGCAACTGATGGATCTGGGATCAACCAGTCCTGATATGAACGAAGATACACCTGAAGAAACTCTAGATGCTCAAGCTGGTTCAACAAACAGGGCCACTGGAGATATAGAGCAACTGATGGATCTGGGATCAACCAGTCCTGATATGAACGAAGATACACCTGAAGAAACTCTAGATGCTCAAGCTGGTTCTACTAACAAGGCCACTGGAGATATAGAGCAACTGATGATTCCAATGTTAAATGGAATGTTGAGTAAACAGGAAACAAACGTTAACAGATGTATTTAAACCAATGAAATGTAAACTGATAAATCCCATTAATTTATACTCTGAGAGAAAAATATAGATTTATGTATAGAGAGTTTTGGGTAGTTTATAGAACTGGTACTGGGATTGAGAGTAAAACCTTTGCACAAACCCTTATGGTCGAGGTGCAAATGGTATACCTTGATATCCCTAGAATTTATGTCTGAAATTTGTCAATGATATAATAAGATCTAATCATTTCATTACATCAGACAAATATTTTTATTCAAATGATGTACCCAAATACACAAAGATTTTAAAGGATACAATAAAGAGAAAAAAATGTTGGTAAATGATAAAAAAATAATCTTACTTTACTAAACCTTTTTCTACACAAAGTTGAAGCCCTTGCCAGACTTGAAGCCGACATTGATCCATCCTTATTTCATCTTGAGAATCCGGTATACAGGAAATAATATGAGGAGACAACAGTGCAGATAAAAACTCAATCCTGGAAACAATGGAAAATAATTAATTTATAATTTTATACGACCATAGAGAAAATGGAAAACAAAGCTTTAAAGGTTTGGTTTCTTTTAGCTGTAGCAAAAGAAGAACGTAAATTTCATGTGACCACTTTGTGACTTCTAGCTTTTAAAGTTTATTTTGCAACAAGTATATGAGAGACAAAAGTTTATCTGGATACAGATTAAAAATTCAAAATATTTTTATTCTTTTTTAGATTAGCTCATTAATAAGAGTAGCTTATATATATATATACATGTATATATATAAATGTGGGAACTAGAAAACATAAATTCGCAATCTAGAAGTTGCCTTCCTTTCATCGTGAAGGCCCTCGTTCTAGAACAGAACGGAACGATTTCAAAACAGTCAAAACGTGCCTAGCTCTATAGTATATTGTGTACTCCATATTTATACAGATTTATGTATTTCTGTCCTTATTCTAAGCTGTGCTATAGAGATTCTAAAGTGGTGACCCAGACAACAACTGAGATATGGCAAAAACGCAGCCTCCTACTTGGAAACAGCTCAAGATTTGGCTGAAGAGGCAATCTCAAGAATAATCTCATCTATCTTATCTGCAAGCTTTTGCCTACATCATGCTAATTGAAACAATCTGTTGACACTCTTACAGCTTTCAGCTTTAACATAATACACAGCTACACCTGAAACTAGTCAGCTTTATAGCTACTTCTGGAGCTAATCAGCTAAACAGCGACTTCTGGAGCTTATTAGCTACATAGCTACTCCTGGAGCTGATTAGCTACACAGCTACTTCTAGAGCTAATCATCTATACAGCTACTTCCGAAGCCAATCAGCTTCTCTCTAGTTTCTATATCATGATGCTAAAATTTTATAGACAGCTGCTCTAAACACTGTTTCTACAACTCTCTGTTTCAACAACTTCTGAAATATATTAGCAGCTTGAAGTCCTCAAGTTAAACAAATGACCGACTATTCTTCACTACAATTGATGCCCTTAAATTGTCCCTGGCCAGCCATCAACAATATGGTCCATCATGACATGATTAGGAGGTATAATTACAACATCTTACCAGCTCTGATTTTTCTCAGCAATGCTGTTTATTAAACAGCTCCAGTCACAAGAATTCCTGCTACTCCTTTCAACTGACAAGTTACAACCCACGAGGAAAATGATCTCAGTCTCGACCTCTACTACCTCGAGACTAAGGGGGGACTTCTGTAGCGACGAGATATCGTCTTCCACAGAAAGAACAAATACAGGAACAAGAATACATAAATTTGCAATCCAGAAGTCGCCTTCCTCTCATCCCGGAGTAGTTACTTGTTCTTAACCATGTATAGACGTGTTCCATATTTATACAAATATATATACATATATTTCCCAACTTATTCTAAGCTGTGCTATAGAGATTCTAAAACCCTTTATTAAAAATATCAAAATAGATAGTCAAGAAGTCATTTTCAGATAAGATCTTGGGAGATGGTGAATTATTTAACTAAAAATAATTTCCCTGGGGGCTGGAGAATATTTACCTGGGGGCTGGAGAATATT